AACACTAAAATTATATGTATAAATATATTAAATAAATTTATATATATATATATATATATTATATCTATAATAATATTTTTTTATAAATCATTATATATATATATATGTAATATTTCTTATATATCATGTAAGACTAACAATAATAATATTTGTAACTTATTTATTTGCTAATTAATTAATTGTATGGTTGGGGGAGCATTGAGCTCACAAATTAACCACATTTTTTTTAATATAGATATTTATTAATTGTTACTACGAACTTTTTTTTATAAAATGAATTTTCAAATTCAATATTAATTAGAATGATTTTTCAAATTCAATATTAATTAGAATGATTTTTCAAATTCATCCAACCCTGAGTTTAATTAAAAATACCCTCTCAAGTACATTATGGACAAAAGCTCGTTATTTAACTAATTGACGTATTATCTCCTCAACTGACCACTTTAGTCATATACTTATATGGATTTTCAAGCAGGGTCATTGATTTGGTCAGCTCACAAATTGGATATTAACTTCTAATTTCTAATCGATGTTTATAACTAGTTAATTTAATTCTCATTACTACAAGTTCTTTCATGACATCAAAACCTTAATTTGACCGGATCTACATCTATTGACTTTTGACTTTGACTAATCAACATCCCATATGAGCCCAACAAACTTTGCTGGATTATAGCCCAACAAATAGCTTCTGATTAAGTACATCTCATCATAACTTCAATTACTTTATTCTATCTTAGTTAACTTATATTTCTTGGACTAATTATATCTTAACACAACTATTTATCCAAGAATTTAATTAGAATGTATAGACTGGTAGACAGTATAAAAAAATATTTTATTTACGACAATATTATTAATTTTGCAATAAATATTTTAAAAGTTATATTTGAAGTAATTTTTAAATAGTTGACCGTGTTAATTTGTTACATGTACTAACATGAAAATTTAACTCTTAATTTAATGAGTAAAAAATCCATGTAATGACAATATATAAAAAAAAACTCTTTTTGGTCTTTATATATATATATAAAGTAAATGATAATATATTTTGCACTATCATTTATTTTTATGAATTTTTTTATCATTTATTTCTTATAAAAAAGGATTGGAGGTAGTAGAATATTATCCAACTTAAAATTTTTAATTTTATGATAATTTTTAATTAATTACACTCTTACTGTAGATTGTCATATTTGTCAATGTATAGCTCCAAAGTTCATTTACGCATGTACAATGTTATGACCTTTTAAATTTTTTTGACAAGTTCATATACATTTATATTCCATCAAATATGCATGATCAATCTAATAAAACTTAAAAAGGTGAGAGATCTTGCATTGATTGGAAATATAATGTAAATAATATATAAGTGATACTCGTTTTAATAGTTAATTTTACATGATTGAATTATATATAAACTTATATTTTTAAGATAAAGTTAAATTTTAGAAGTTAGTGAATTTATTTCGTAAGACAAAAATAATAAGATATAAAAATAAATTAAAATCAACTAAATAGATATTAAACTAATTAACTAAACATTTTTTTTTCCTTACAATTAATGATGGGCTTAAAGGGCAAAAGTTATCCACCAATAAATATGTCGAAAAGTTGAGTAACAAGTGGAGATACAAAAAATCTAGAGGGAACTCAAAAAGCTTAACTTCCATGTCCACGTGCATGGACATTCCCCACTTAGACAAAGCATCCGTATCAGGGAATTTGCTTCCCTAAAAACATGTCGGAGGCTATGTTTCCTAAAATTACATAGGAGAGCAAGGATGTCCATAAGAAGGGCATTACAAAGGTGATGGGGCTGAGTGTACCAAGCTACAAGCCTACAACATACAGATAGGCATTTGAGAATCTGATTCCACCTCCACAGCTTGAAAACCACGAGTGCTACCCACGTAGAGGGTATGTTTGATCACCTAAACCTCAGCTTTGACAATAGAGCAAAGCTTCATATTGCAAACAAAGATAGTTATGAAGTGACCACATCTTCATCCTAATAAGCCCCCTGCTGCAACATAGCAAGATTGGAGAGAAAAGTAGAACCATCCATAGTTCTATCATCTATGTTAGAGCTAACCACACAATTAAGGATTTTATGGCCATCCATCGGGAACAAAAGTAGAACCATATATGCACACTTGTTTCCTAAACAAATCAAACTCTTCACTTGGGACCCTCACCAATACCCGTCTGTAAAACTAAATTGTGACCAAATATAATTCATAATAGTTAATGAAAATGAACATCAAGTTAAACAATTTTTTTCGTGCAATGTCAGGAGTTTGAATATAATTATATAAATCATTTCATTGCGGAGAATTATACTTATAATTAAATATATATATATTTATTTGCT